TTACACTTTCTAATTTCTTACAGAACTCGTTATTTTCATAAATACAGCTGTATCAGTACTGTAGTAGTACTGTAGTTATTGCCTATGGATTGATTGTTCTGGAGTTTTTTTACTTTGAAACTTAAAATATTTGCTAATTTTTTATCTTATTCATCCTACAGGCATTTTACATTCAAATTACGTTATTTTAGTTACCATTTGGGCCAAACTTAATTTAAAATTTCTCTAAACTTATTCTAATTTATTATTTATTTTAAACAAAATCAGATTCTACAGGTTTCTACAGGGGGAAGCACGAAGGGTAGCTTTTTGTAACCTATTGTGATGGTGTAACATACAGAAATGATTTTTATTAGTTGGATGCTAGATCACCTACAAATTTCATCTTGAGAAGTATATAGATTTTGCTATTTCCTCTAAACTGAAAGATATTTTAAAGATCTGTCTAACCTTTCTTGTTGCCTTCTTGTATAACAGTATGAAAAAACTACTCATGCAGTTTATGAAGTAGAAAGTTCTATAGATACATTACTAGACCTACTGCAAATGTATAGAGGGAAAGCTGGCGACAAAATTTCAGAGAAAGGAGGAAGTATTTTCACAAAGACCTGTTGTTTGTTGGCCATCCTTTCAAAGGACTCCAAAAGAGCCTTGGTAAGACGTAAATGTTTTGGGTTTAAAAATTTGATTTTAACATGCTTTTCTTGCATGTTTTGGTGGTGGTTCTATATTTTTGTTTTCTCTCCCTCTCTACCATACCTATTATGGCTGTAATTAATTATGACTAAACTCTGATTAAAAAGAAAAAAAATCCAAGATGGTGAAAACACTCACTATTTTGTGCTTTGTATGCCTTTGTCACCCAGAGCTAGTCAATAAGACATTGAGATTCTGATCCTGCAATCCTTGCAAGAGGATGATATTGCGATCCCTACTTTCTGCAGGGTTTTGATGTCCTTCTGTCAATTGCTTAGCATTAGATATGGTTTAGTTGTCAATTAATTAACTTTTTTCCAATTTCTAAAAGCTTACTTTTGCTTTTCAGATAAAGGACTTTATTATTAGTAACAACTGTCAATATAATTGTCCATGACTTTGTGTTGACATATGTATTGTAACAGAGACATCGCCTATTTCTGAAAGAAATTTCCTTTGTTCATGCCTATTGCTATAAGCCTAATAAGGCTACTGGGATAGCCTAGGTCGTATGCTATACATTCACTAGCTGTTTATCCATCAGATATAAACACTTAAGTTATCCAGTCACCTCTAATCATTGCTTTATTCTTTCATTGCTATAAAGACAGATACAAACTCTTATTTGCCTCTCTGTACCAGTCACTGAGGGCATATTGATTTTGAACTTGTAGTATTAATAGTATGCTGTTTTCGTCTTTTCTCAGGAAATACGAGGCATACCAAGAGCAGTTGCTTGCATTCAAAGCCTATATAAACTTACAGTTCGTAAACACAAAATGGATGAAGAGAGAACACTTGTGAAGCAGAAAACAAATACTCTCTTCAGCAAAGCTTCCTTTGTTCCAGTAACTCCTCTAAGAATAAAAACAGTTTCAAGGTAAATGCTTGAAAATTAGTCTGCTGTTTTTGCTGTGGCAGTATAATATTTTAATGACATGCCATCAATATTTTCACAGAATTAAACCAGACTGGGTTTTGAGGAAAGATAATATGCAAGAAATTGTGGATCCTCTGCAAGCAATTCTGATGGTGATGGATACACTTGGTATTGCTTGCTACTGAAATGTAAATGATGTATATGAAAATGTATTTGTATAGCATGTATTTAGCAACTTTGAAAGAAAGCAAGTAAATGTAAAGCTACCCTTGAAAATCTTTTTTTTTTTTTTTTTTTTTTTTTCAAATTGCAGTCAGTATGTCGGTAGCTTTTTTGTACCTTGTACAGCTCTTAAAATCCTATTTTGTTCTACTTCCAAAAGCAATTGTACAATAAAATCATCAGCCCTGGCAATTTCACTAGTGCAGTACTGTTGTTATTACACAGGTGCTCAATTTACAAATAGCATGGTATTCCACACTCTGATTAAGCATCATAGCATTCTATTAAAAAGAGTTGTTTCTGTGGGACAGTTTACATTGGTTTGTCTTGTCTGGAGAGGTATAGGTAGGAAGGGAGGCATAGTCTATGGATTTCAAACTGGCCACTGTTTTGGTGGAGCTTGGATTTACTTTTGGTAAGTGTTTAAGGAGGCATGTGTGACTGTGGGAAGATTTTATTTTTTTTTTTTTTTTTTTTTTTTTTCCCTAACCACTTCAGGGTTACGATGGGATATAGTAAGGGTAAATTTAGGAATTCCAACCTGGTATTTTAAGGGAGTACATACAAGCATGCATTTCATCCAGCTGAACAGGTGATGTTCATCACAGCATCTCCCTTAAATTCTGTTCTCTTGTGCCTTGGAATTGTGTATTCTTAGATGAAGGCCAACAAAATGGAAATCCTCCCACCCCCAAATTTAAAGACTATACCTCCCAAGGGTAGCAATTGATGCTAAATCAACAGGTAGCCATTAGTCAGGTGATAATGCATTGTAAATGGGGTACTATTTTTTTGGTTGGTTGGTTTTGGGTAGGTGACTTTGGGGGTGTTTTGTTTAGTTTGGGTTTTTTTGGGGGGGGGGTGTTTTAGGTTTGGTTTTTTTTTTTTTTTTGTTGTTGAATTTTGAGTTTGTTCTGGTTGAGATTTTTTTTGTTTAGAAAAAGACTCAAAAGGGGCTAGCTGTGTACAGCAAAGCCCAACAGACAGATCATAGGAGCAGCTGTGTTCTTGTTGTGATATAAGCCCAGACAGTAACTCTGAACCATGCAGCCGCTCGCTCACTCCCCCTACTTCTTCCTCCTCCTGCTTCCGGAGAGATGGGGAGGATAATTGGAGGAATGTAACTCCCACGGGTTGAGATAAAAGCACTCCAGTAACTAAGGTATAATACAAACCACTACTGCTACCACCAATAATGATAAAGGGAAGCAACAATGGGAGAGGATACAATTGCTTACCACCTGCTGACCGATACCCAGCCTGTCCCAAGCAGCCATCTGGACCTTCTGGGTGACTGCCCCCAGTTCATATACTGGGCATGACGTGCTGTGGTACGGAATAACCCTTTGCCTAGGTTGGGTCAGGTGTCCCGTCTCTGTTTCTTCCCAGCTTCCTCTCCTCCCTGGCAGAGCGTGAGACTGAGAAAGTCCTTGGTCAAGAGTAAACATTACTTAGCAACAACTAAAAACATCGGTGTTATCAGCGTTGTTCCCAGACTGAAAGTCAAAAACACAGCACTGCACCAGCTACTAAGAAAGAGAAAAAATGACTGCTATAGCTGAACCCAGGACAGTTCTTAATGTAAGAGCCTCCAGAATTAACAATATACAGAATGTAACTGACTGGTTGTTGTGGTTTAAACCCAGCCTGCAACTCAGTACCATGCAGCTGCTCGCTCACTCTCCCTCCCTTCCTCTGCCCATGGGTGGGATGGAGAGCATGTAAAACCTGGGGTTAAGAACAGCTTATTAACTAAGGTTAAAATACAATAATAAGGGAAATAAAAGGGAGACAGATATAAAAGTATAAGGAAAAAGGGAAGGAGAGAAGAAAAAAATAAGCCAAACAAAAATGTCCCCAAAACCCCTACCCAAAGCAACAACCAACAGGGACGCATAATACAATTGCTCACTACCCACTGTTGTTGCCCAGCCCATCCCTGAGCAGCAATCAGCCCTTTTTAGCTAACTTCCCCTAGTTTATATACTGAGCATGACGTGCTGTGGTATGGAATACCCCTTTGGCTGGTTTGGGTCAGGTGTCCCATCTCTGCTTCTTCCCAGCTTCTTGTGCCCCTCCTCACTGGCAGAGCATGAGACAGCTACTAAGAAAGAGAAAAAATGACTGCTATAGCTGAACCCAGGACAGTTCTTAATGTAAGAGCCTCCAGAATTAACAATATACAGAATGTAACTGACTGGTTGTTGTGGTTTAAACCCAGCCTGCAACTCAGTACCATGCAGCTGCTCGCTCACTCTCCCTCCCTTCCTCTGCCCATGGGTGGGATGGAGAGCATGTAAAACCTGGGGTTAAGAACAGCTTATTAACTAAGGTTAAAATACAATAATAAGGGAAATAAAAGGGAGACAGATATAAAAGTATAAGGAAAAAGGGAAGGAGAGAAGAAAAAAATAAGCCAAACAAAAATGTCCCCAAAACCCCTACCCAAAGCAACAACCAACAGGGACGCATAATACAATTGCTCACTACCCACTGTTGTTGCCCAGCCCATCCCTGAGCAGCAATCAGCCCTTTTTAGCTAACTTCCCCTAGTTTATATACTGAGCATGACGTGCTGTGGTATGGAATACCCCTTTGGCTGGTTTGGGTCAGGTGTCCCATCTCTGCTTCTTCCCAGCTTCTTGTGCCCCTCCTCACTGGCAGAGCATGAGACTGAAAAGTCCTTGATCAGGGTAAGCATTAGTGAGCAAGAACTAAAACATCGGTGTGTTATCAAGACTGTTCCCAGACTAAAGCCAAAACAGCACTGCACCAGCTGCAAGGAAGAAAATTAACTCTATCTCAGCTGCTACCAGGACAGTGGTTATAAGGGGTAGGCTGGAGGAGGGGGAATTTCCTATTTCCTCTTACTTCAGTCAAGGCAAATAATGTGATAACAGAATGCCCTTTAAACTTGGAATTCAGGAGGCTCTGCGGGGAGCACTGTTCAATTAGCTTAAATCGTTCACAAGCTAGTTGCTTAGTTTCACTGTAAAATGACAAATTCTGTCTTCTTTACTTATGTAAAGTGTGTGACATGGCTAGTGTTATGGTATTTGGAGAGCTAAAATAAATGAAAACTGGTTGTAGTGACATTCAAAATACCATGTACACTAAGGCATTTTTGAATGTCCACCTTTGAAAATCCAGTTAATTATTTACAAAAGTAAAACTGAGAGTTTTCACAGGTGGTGGAAACTTGATGGAGACAGTAATGAAGATGAGATTTAAAAGCTGTTTTTTCTTCCTAGTTACGATGTATTCAGGCAAGCTCTTTGCAGAAGGTAAGTAACACTGAATTCTATTGTTAATAAATGTATATTGAAACTAGAACATGCAATCTAGATAACTTAAGTACAATGTCTTTCATATCTTTACTAAGAGTAAACACTGATTTTTAAGTGTAATTTTGTTGTGAGGTGTCTGATCATGATTCAGCTGTCACTGTAGCTCAGGGCTACAGATTCACATGTAAGCTTCAAAGCTGTGATATTGAAAGGTTTGGACTTGTATTCAGAAAAATTCCTTTTGAAATGTATTTGGGTGTCTTGCAGCATTTATACAAATTGAGTATTGTGCTTTTAAAATATTTTCTACATTGAAATGTCAGTGATTGAAGTGTTTTGGCTTTACCACAAAGCAAAAGAGTGGAAATTAAAAGGAACCTTGCAGAAGCTAGTCTGGGGTGGTTTTGCATTTCCTATCACTGTTTTCAGGGGTGCTTAAAACTGCTGGGTTTCTATAGTTTACACACCACTTGAACTGCAAGTTCACAAAGGTGTGGGCTGTGTATAAAGGGTCCACCTTCACTAACTGAAAAGGTGTCCCCTTTTTCTTTTTTTCATTTCATGCTAATGTATAACTCAAGCACATCTGTCGCAAACTACCTGTCTTCACTAGAGTTTTGTCCTTACACAAACCAGCTGAAAGTACTCTGATATCCTCTGGGAAGCCAAAAGAAGGCATGTAGGTAGCAACCATTTCTGCCTTTCAGTTACTTGAAAAACGTAATTACCGTCAGGTTTGGTTTTGGTGCTGCGATTTGGGGGGTTTTGGTTGGTTGGATTTTAGTTTGGGTTATGTTTTTGGGTTTTTTTTTAATTTAGATGTAATACAGTGGCTGTGTGCGGAAAGGAATTTTAAAAAAAAATTATCTTGCCAATTTGTACTTAGTAAAAACACTAAATTTGCAGAAAACTATAGTAATTACAGTAAATTCTAGTGACATTACTAAGTGAAGGAGCAATAGTCTGTTATTCTGCTTTTAATGTGTAGGGTGAATGCAGTAGTGCCAACCTGTTGGAGAATTGCCCAATTTTAATGAGATTCATAGGTGGTAATTCATTTTTTAAAACTTGATTCTTCAGGTTAGATTGCCTTGTAATGCCACTGAGAGAGTTTTTGAGACCCAAAAGATCATTTTTTAAGAAATCTGAACATAAGTATTGCTTTTGGTGGTTAGGGTGTTTGGGTTTTCTTTTTGTTCGTTTTGGTTTTTAAATAACTTAATGCCGTATTCAGCACAATTCCTTTTAAAGGTGTTCTCCTATTAATGTTTTGTCTTTTTCCTTTTTTTAATTGTAGTTCTGCTTGTTCTTTTCTAAATCTCCATTTCTGCTTTCTTTTCCATTGATTATGTTTTTAAAATTTTCTTTCTTTAGCAAGTTTAACTCCTATATTTCCTCTTGGCAGTTTGTCATACTGTTCTGAGAACGTTTGCTGAATTAAGGATGTATGGCATATATAATCCTGACACTGTTGACGCTGGATTTTAGAGCAGGCATGAGTATATTTACGCAGCAAAGTGTGCTCATACCTTCTGGTTTAAATAAAGAGTCAAATAAACGTGTTCTACGTCAGCACGGCCTAGTTCACATTAGGAAGTTTCATTCTACAGCTGATATTCCTGTGAATGTAAAGAACTGATGTAACTGTAACGTATCTTAATTTTAGTGAGTCTTGCAAGAGCCTTCATGCTGGCAAGTATGCAGAAGCTCATTCACCTTGTTTGAAAGCCTGAATCAATTGAACTGATATTAAATAAACTAATGCAAAAAAGTTTGTATCTGGGTTGAGATTTTTAGTGAGATAATTTTTTTTTTTTTTTTTGCAGATAAACCATGTGATTTGCCACATATAGAAAATGGAAGGATTGCCCAGTACTACTATAATTTCAAAAGTTACTATTTCCCTATGCGTAAAGAAAAGAAACTTTCCTATTCCTGTATGGTTGGTTATACAACTGAAACTGGGACTCAAGATGGAAGAATAACCTGTACTGCAAAAGGCTGGTCTCCAGTGCCACGATGCTACAGTAAGTTAACTTCATTAATCTCATCATTGCTTTAGCAGAAAACTTCTAGCTGTATTTCCTGGAACATACAGAAGCAGAAGCTGCATAACAGTAGGGATAAAATGTACACATTAAGACAAGGTGAAATCAATCCTTTATGCATGCAAACTACATTTTTATACATGGTGTATTTTTACAGTGCTACCTATTTTAAGGGCTTTACCAAATATGTTTCTATAAGAACACCAGAAAGTTGCCCAGTTTCCTTATTTTGGGAAAACTAATAGATTGTTTCCCCTCAGATGTATATCCTCTAAAGCTTCCCTAGCTCTAGGTTCCTTGCTTGTTATGTTCCGTGTTATTACTATCAGTTTGATGTATTGTTCGATGACTGTGGTAGAGTTTCTTCAATAGGTCAAGAAAACAAGATTAGATCAGCATAGCTAAAAACCTCTTCTTTTGCTTATTAGAGAACAAAAATATTCCATTAATTCTTTCTACTCAAACTACCTCCTTTCATTTAGGAAAATGTAACAAGCCTCTTCTGGAAAACGGCGTTTTTTATGGTACAGAAATGTACTTCAAAATACATGAGAAACTGCAATACAAATGTAATCCAGGCTACCACACTCCAAGCGGTGGAACTGAAGACACAGTACAATGTTGGCCAGAAGGATGGAGCTCCCAGCCAAGCTGTACTAAAAAATTTGGTAGGATTTTGCGTTTTCCTCCTTTATAATCTGTCTTATCTGTATGTAATTCTACCGTCTTTGCTGTACCTGTAGGGCCAAACTGCCTGTGTCAGGTTATGATCTGAGTACTCCCAAAGTAGATTCCCAGCACTACCTCATAGGAAGAAGTTGTCAGATTTCACATGCTGCTAGTTTTGTGAATTTGTATAGATAAAATTGTATGTAGAAGAAATCAGTATAGATGAAATCACATTGTTTCAGATAAAACCATCCAAACTTTCTTCCTAAACGATGACTAGAAAAGTCATTCAAACCACTGCATTTTAAATTATTCATTATTTGTAAAGATTTTTGCAAAGATTTTTGCCTTCGATATAACCACTTTTAAGGTGTATCTAAGGAAAATTTTAGAATAATACCTTGAAATGAAAAAAGCAATTAATATTATGCATATGTTTTATTTATTTAAGAGTCATGTCAAGTACCAAATTTACATCATGGCAACTACTCCACAGCCCAACAAGAGCTTCGGCTGAATGAAACACTGCAATACAAATGTGACGAAGGATATCGTACTGCAGGAGGAAACACTACAGAGGAAGCAGTGTGTCTAACGCATGGGTGGTCCCTTACTCCCAGCTGCAGTAGTATGTAGTGAGCTGGAATATAATTCAGTTTGAAATGTGATTTATTCTACAAATGAACAAAAATTTGCAGAAAGGCTTGTTTTATGAGCTGTTGGGGGCAGGGTGCAAAGGGGAAGCCTCCCTCAGCTGTTTTTCACTGCTTTGTGTTTTCTTCCTAGGAATAACTTGCTCCTCTTTAAGTGCAATAGCACATGGAGGTTTCTATCCTGTGAAGAAAATCTATGAAGAGGGAGATGTAGTTCACTTTTTCTGTGAGGAAAATTATTCTGCCAGTGAATTTGATCTAATTCAATGTTACTATTTCGGATGGCATCCAGACCCTCCAGTGTGTGAAGGTACCTGCTTTTCATAGTTTTACTATGTCAAATTCTTAGTGAACAACTACCACTTTCTTTCATGAAATGCTTTATCAATACAAAGTAAAAATATGCTTTTTGTACCTATTTACAGTCTAAATAGAAATCAAGTGTTAGCTGAAGGGCGTGGAGACAAGGTAGCTGGGAGGGAGGTAATGATACTTGGAATTAGTTTACAGTGGACTCTAACAGTAGAGTAGATTCTGTCTCTTGATGTCGCTTCTTTGTATGTTGGATCCTGGAGAAGCAGAAATCAGCAATTACGGGGAAGTTGTTCCACCTCTGAATCTCAAGTTAAACCATGTTCAGATGACACAAAGGTTTAATCAAGGATGTTGATTCCTGCCTTGTGAAGTGGGAACATGCCTCTTGAGGTGCATTAAAAATAAAATCTGTGGCAAGTTCCTCCTGAGCTTGGGGATTGTGGTCCTTTTCGGAGTTTTACAGCCTCACCAAACTGTACATGTTTTCAACAGAATTTAACTAGAAAGGTAATCAGAAGCACAACTTTAGCAAGCGCTATCACTTCCCCAGTAACTGGGGGATAATAACGATTCTCAGAAAAGAAACTTGCAAAAGAATGAAAGGTCTAGTGAGCCAGGTGAGATATAATAAACAGCAGAAAATGGTACAAATCAACATTTAGGCTAGCTGAGAATTCATATTGTTTGACATACCTTGATAGTGGGTCATTGTCTTACGTGGATATTGTCCCCTCTGTGGATTACTTCTGAGCTTCAGGAGATCTCACTGCCTCATGGTAACAAATTCTCTGCTTTATATACAAGAGGTTACAAATTTTGATAGCAGAGGATGGGATAATCAATCTTTTTTGTTGGCTTAAGCTAAATGTATGGTATTCTTTTCCAATATATTTTTACAGGATTTTTTCCTATGAAGTATGTTTCTAAAGCAAATTTAATAATTGTTGTGGGGTTAGGATGGCATGACTGAGATTAAAAATTATATTTAGCCTTTAAAAATATAGATGTGTTCAGCAGAATTTTCAGTAAAATCAGATTTTTTGTAATTCCTTTATAGCTAATCTTGCAGAAGACTATGTGATTGAGCGCAAAGATGAAAATCACCTTCCTTTCCTAGAAGACACTGTAGTGTTTAAAATGTATTCAATTAAATGGCATGTGTTAGGACCCCAGCTCTGTATTTATTCTGATGACATAGCAGGAATACTTCTTGAGTGGATGCAGAGAAGGTGGGGTGCTCAGAATGAAAACAAGGCCTAAATCTAGTCTTGAGGCTACTGCAGTTGCAAACTTAAGGCCAGGTTGGATGGGGCTTTTGACCTGGTCTAGTGGAAGGTGTCCCTGCCCATGGCAGGGGGTTGGAACTAGATGATCTTTAAGGTCCCTTCCAACCCAAACCATTCTATGATTCTGTGATGATACTACGAAGTAGACTGTGAGTTTTACTGCTTCTGTAGCATTAGATCTAATACATAAGCTGCTTTAAAGAATGTACCAGTGGAGGATATGGGAAATCTCTATTCCCTGAAGTCCTTCAAAAAACATTTTAAGCCTATGTGGAGAAATTATAAAGTTGTTTATAGCAGTGCAATAGTGTGGGAGACAATGGAAACTATTTGATTATTGCTAAAGAGAAGTACCTGCTTGGCTGGAGAAGAAAGAGTTAAAGAAGAAACAAAGTACAATCGAGCAGAGCAACCCAGCTGGCTGAAGAGGAGAGAGCATAAGATACCAAGACACCTGGCTGAGGAGGAGAGAGCATAGAGATAAGAGACTGGCTACCCTGGGACTGGTTGTGAGAAAGCAAGCAGTGTTAAAAAACAAACTATAAGTCAGGAACTAAACATGATAGGCTACAAATAGAATGGTATAAAAGCTAGAGCAATAGGCTAAAAATAACTGTTGTTAGAATGGTATAAAAAGTTAGAGCAGTAGGCAATAAAAGGATTCACTGCATGAAGATGCTCTGGGTCCGTGCCTTCATCCCCTCACAATAGCATTATACCTCATATTTATCGAATGTAAAATCACTTTTTTTGTTCTGGTCTTCTATTTTGCTAAGAAAATGGGAGTAAGGAATTACTCTGGATCAACCACAGATGTCTTTTGAGTGATAGGTTTGCATGCTGTATAGTACAATTGATCATGTACTTGGTTTTGATCAGTGAGAAAACAGTATGCATTTTTTATTTTCAGATGTAAAAAATAAATGTCCTCCACCACCACTTCCTCCTTATGCCCATATTGTCACAGACAGAAGAACATACCACAATGGAGACAAAGTTCGCATACAGTGTCAAAGTACCTTTGAAATGAGAGGATCTGAGGAAATCCAGTGTGAAAAAGGAAAATGGACATCACCCCCTATTTGTATTGGTTAGTACTTTTGTGAAGATTGACAGCTGAACAGAAATGAATCTTCAGACAATGCCTTATTTACCTGGAAAGCCTCAGTTTCCATATCTGCAAAACTGTTTATGTCGTCCTCTGTTAAAATGATTGAGAGGTAAAGTGCTATGTAATTTGTACACAATCGGTTCTCAAATCAAAGAGAAAGGATGAGGTAGGTGAATTCAAGTGACATGCGTGTTATGTAGTTCTTCCCTAGAATATTGATTTTATCTTGCAATGCATCAGTGTCTGTCTGGTTTGGCATTTGAACATGAGTTACTTCTTAGATTCTGCTCTGGTTCTAAGTTTCTGCTGTGGTTACAGGAACTATGGATAAATGGGAATCTGAGGCACCACCATCACTTGAGGCAGATGCAGTAACGAAGGCAAGCACAACATATCACAATGAAGATACGAGTAGGTGAACATTGCTTTTCTATTTAAAAGGGACTTCAATACTCTCCAGTGATATTATAGGCATTTTATGACTACTCTTACTAGTCTTTTGCTGTAGTACAGTTCCTTACTCTTGAAAATGTTTCCATGTGCTATGGATGTCATTGTAGCAGTCTGAATGAAAGGCCATTGTTGCTTTTTTTCTAGCATTATAAACTACACCTATAAGCTTGTTTCAGTGTTTATGATTTTATTTCATACATTAGCATTAATCTTCATTTTGTACCCTTTCTGTTAATGTTTTGCTGATCCTTTGATCAATGGTTCCATGGGGTTTCTTTTATTTTTAACCACACATGGGCTAAATATTTCAAGCAACAAATAAAGACTGTCTCATCACAGAAAAAGAACTAATCTATATTGATTAAACCAGCAAGAGTCAAGAGTGGACATAGCTGAGGACTGTACAGGGAAATAAAAGGCCTGTCTGCAATTCAGTAAGGCAAGTGCAGAGTTTCTGAAAACAAAATTTGAAAAAGAAATTATATTGGTTTAAATTTTATTTGTATGATAATTTTTTGCCCTGTCTATTATTAGTCTGAGACTTTAACTAATGTTAACATTGCTTCAAAAATCTAATTACCTGACTCCCTACCTTGTATTAGAAACACAGCAAGACTGTACCTCTCCACCCGTGATTAAAAATGGTGTTGTTCTTGGTCCATTATTGACAAGTTACAAAAATGGTTCCTCAGTAGAATATGGTTGTCAGCATTACCATTTTTTGGATGGACCTCGTACTGTTTACTGCCAAGAAGGAAACTGGACAGAACCACCAACTTGCTTTGGTAAGTCTTCTAAGAAAAAGAAAGTTTTGTCGTACATAATATAAAGAGGTAAAACTGGAAAGACCTCTAGATAATCCTTTCATGATCACCTTTTTGTTTTCATTTGAGTTAATAAAGATTCCAGAAACATAAGGATGAACCAACTCAAACGTATGTAAGCCACTCCTGCTGTGTGTCTTCTGGACTGTTCTTACAAACATCCAGTTAAATAGATTTCTCGGTCTTCCTGAGTGAGCTGTTCTAGAACATACCTATCCCTGTTATCTAGGAGTATTCTCTTTTAATTTCTTTCTCCCACATTCTCCATTCAGTGAATTTGTTCTTATCCTTTGGTAGATGTTTAGAAGGAATTACTTCAACCATTGCCAAAAAGGCTTTTAGGTATGATTAGCAGGGAATATAAGGACTTCTTGGACGTCCATTTTTAAACCTTCAGCCTGTGTTTTTATTATGTGTCTTTATATCTATCATTTAATTCTGGACTTTCTAATTTTTCTGTGTTGCTCTTACATATGCTGTTCAAAACATTGTATAGAGCTCCCATTAGGAATTTACCTATACTAGCAATAATACTGCTGATGATCTGCAAGACTAAGTTTATCTTTCCCTCCTTCTTGTAATGAAATAATTCTATTTTATTCGCATCCTTTGTTAAATTGACTCACTTTAAGTTTGTAATCTACTGTAAAAATGCAAATAAGTAATCAGTTAAGTCTTAAGTAGTTATTTCTAAATTAATAAAATGCACCTCATTTGGACTGAAAGGTCTAGATCAGCATTCGTGGATCTGAATTCTGAAATTTAATAAATCCCATGAAGTAATGAAAACTCATTTCCTATGAGTGTCATTTCTCTCCTAAGCATCCAAATAACCACATCACCCTTTCCATGTTCTCTGAGATTTCTTTTCAACCTGCTCCTAATCAGACCAGAAAGAGCACATACCGTAGTTAGTTTCAGGAAAATATCCATACCAATTTGCTGTTATCAGAATGTTATCACAATGTGTAATGACTGATTTCTCCTCACCTTTCCCTCAGCAAAGCATTAATAAGGGCCTCTATTAGACAATGATTCTAGTGGAATATGTAGATCTTATTTTTATAACTGTCCCTCTGTCAAGCTTTATTGAACAGTGCTTTCAAAAGCTAATGAGGTTAACTGTCTAATTGAAAGCTAGGCTACCTGATGTGATCCTGGCACTAAATTTTATGAAACCTGTCCGAAAACAGCCAAAACAATATGGTCTTTGAATATCCTGAAAAACCCCAAAGAACAACACAAATTTCCAAAGGGTTTTGGAAGATATCTACATTAAACAGTGACAAAACAAAGAAAAAAAGCAAAGGAAAGGAAACTGTTGAAACACTTTCTTAGGTTAACAGTTTAAATTTACTGTGTATTGACTGCTATCCTTGAAGGGCTTACCAAACCCGTCAGCCAAATCTGATGGGTTAGTTTTGATGGATGACTGCTGTCATTATAAAAAGTCCTTTCAATTTACAGTGAAGAAGTTCTTTTCTTCAATGGTAAACCTAGGCTGCTGTATGTTTACAAATACTGATAGAACCCAGATTTCATCAGAAGTGTCTGTTTCCTGTGATTTACTTTTCCCCATTTAGGCTGCTTTTTTTAAATGTTATTTCTGTTACTTCAGCTCATTTCTTTACATTTCCTAGAACCGTGTACTCTTAATGTAACTAATATGAACAGCAACAACATAGAGCTGAAATGGAGACAAGAAGAATTAATTTTCCTTCATGGTGATCTCATAGAGTTTGAATGTAAACAGGGATACAGTTTTCTCCAGACTACCACTCTGTCTCCTGGGAGGACACAGTGTAACCACGGCAGACTGCAATACCCAAAATGTATTATGCAAGGTAAACCAATACTTTTTTGTTATGTTTTTAATTAATCAGTGTCAGACTTATATAGAAATAATTTGCTTTGGCTGTGTGGGCCTAGAATCTGTTGTAAACAATAGACGTTTAGGATTCAACAATACAGATACACAGAAGACATCTATATTGTTAAATATATCCAAGCATGGAAAACAATACACCTTTGGTGGGGAAGGCTGTAGAAAGGAGGCAGGAGCTCATCTCCAAGCCCAGGGAATTCAAAGCTACGTAGAAAGACAGCTGTAAACAATTAAATGCACACAAGGATTTCTTTCTGATCTGAAGCATAATGAAATAGCAAGAAAATACACTGCCTGAGAATGGATAGGTATCTAGTGTTGACAGGCATTTAAAGCTGATGATTTGTTAATTTCTTAAGCTGACTGTTTCTCCAATGTTTCTAATGTCGCTCCAGCTTCTACAGAAAAATGTGACTCTCCACCTTCTATTGAGAATGGAGCTCTTTCTTTCCCACCCCTGACCCAATATGACAATGGTTCTTCTGTTCAGTATAGTTGCTCCGAGTATCATTTTTTGCAAGGATCTGAGAAAATCTACTGTTCTGAAGGACAGTGGACTTCACCACCAGTGTGCATAGGTAGGTTTGATAACATAGATAAGAAGTTATTCTTCCCTGTAATTCATAAAATCATAGAATATTTTGGAAGTTACTTTTAAATGTCATCTAATCCACACCCCCTCCAATAAGCAGGGATGTCTTCAAGTAGATCAGGTTGCCCAGGTGCCCTGTCCAGCCTGACCCTGGATATTTCCAGGGATGGGGCACCTACCACCTCACTGGGCAACCTGTTCCAGTGTTTCACCACCCTCATTATAAAAAATGTATTCCTTACAACTATCTGAATTTATCTTCTTTCAGTTGAAAACCACTTCCCCTTGCCCTATCACTACAGGCTCTACTAAAAAGTCTGGCCCCATCTTTCTTATAAGCCCCCTTTAAGTACTGAAAGGTTGAAATATCTCCCTGGAGCCTTCTTTTCTCCAGGCTGAATAACTCCAACTCTGTCTAAATCAGACACTTAGAATCTATGAATTGGATATTGTCAAGTAGAGCTTTAAGATTTTAACTTCTTTTTTTTTCTTAGAGATGAAAGTTTTAACAGGAGCAGGTATAAGCTTGTCTGGCCTTTTTATTTTTTTTCTTTCCCCCCTTAAATATGACGTGCCTGCAATGTCCAAAATTTCATGCATTGTACATTAGGAGAAAGTCATTTTAGTGTTGATAAATCAAAACCATGCTCCATTAACACTGATTACATCTCTTTTCTTTAGAGCCATGTACTTTGTCAAAAAGTGAAATGGAGAAAAATAATGTGCTGCTGCAAGGGTTCTATAAGAATCAAGTTTATTTTTACCATGGGGATTATGTTGGTTTTTACTGTAAACAGAACCATTTTGGAGCAGAATCTGGTACAACATTATTTCTAGTGCAGTGTAAGAGAGGACAGCTGATGTATCCAAGGTGTGTTGAAAGAGAAAAATAAGTATGGACTTCAGGAAAGCCTACAGAAAAGGTATGTGCATGTTCTTTATCTGGTATTAACACCTGAACTAAGGTGATCTTATATTTTTAAGATCGCTACAGTCAGCTTTGATAGATGAGTATTCAGTGGCATTGCTGGATCTGAGCTGGAGGGGAAGGGAAGTGAAAGGGCTTTGTGGTATGAGGACTGGGAATGCAGCAGAAGAGTGTAATATTGGTGTACGCATGGAAAAACTAGGATGAAGGAGTTTCATAAGGTTTACAGTGATAAACCTGAGGATGCATCACAGTCTGGGGGACCAGAGCCAAGCCACCACAATGAGGAGATGCTGAGCAAGTATTGCCTTTTGTGAGGGCATTGGAATTTTGACAGCATGGATGCTTTTGTGACTACAGAATATGGCTAACTTGAGACTTCGTGCCCTTCAAACGGATGTTAAGCTCTGATTTTACAGTGAGGCCTACTATTTTGTACATCTTAACAGCACCCATGTCTCCTTTCACAGGTAAGAAGCCTCTAATGAACAAGGCTTGAAGTACAAGAATAAAAAAAACAAGTATAAAAACAAAATTTCATTTAAGGGACCTATGAAACCATTTAAAACCTAAAAATTGCAAATTCTATTGAGTAGTTAATTATTATTATTAAAAATAGTCAAGCAAGCATTGTTGTTTTGCTAATTCAGAGCATTTAAATTATTAAAATATCTAGTCCAACTATTTTGTATGATTTCCTACGACACTTAAACATTGGTACTCTTGGGGCTTTGCCTGTGAAGATACGAAGAAAGTTCAGGAATATGGACATTTGCCTTGCATCCATTTTATTATGTTTTAATAAAAATGTCACTGTAAGGGTTTCTTCTGTATTTTATGTGTAAAACCCATCTCTCTCTGATATTATTGCATGTATGCTGTTCTGTACGGTTTTCCAAGGCTTTTGTGAGTGCTAAGTGAATAAACCAAAACGAAATTAAAACATTCAAGAAATAGACAAATTCCGCTTATTTAACCAAAACCCAGTCAACCATTTGGTGGATGAAGAAAACGTTGGTAAAAATAGCATTTTATATGCTATTTACAATAGCATTCCAAAATGCTTTCAAAAGATTGTCATTGTTTTGTAAAGTGTTATTTAAAAATTAAGACAAATAACAATGAGATTTAGCAACTTAACAGACTTCTGTGTGTGGCATTGTGTTAGATGGGTCTAACACTGTGGAACTGGTCATGTGGACCACCACGATCATCTAGAGTGAGTGTGCACGGCTAAGAGCCAACAAGGCCACTCCTCCCTGCACAGACCAGCCCCCTGCATCGGGACGAGTCAGCACTTTTAACATATAAAAGCCCAGGGTTCGGGAGAGACGAGGCGGCGGGTCCAGCTACCACTAAGGTTGGCGTTGCCTCCACGGGGATGCCCTCTAAAGTGGTGCCTGCCGCCCCATTTCTTCACGATGCCCCTCGGAGCTGGCCTCTTGGTCACGGGACAAGTGTGTGGGTCGATAAGAATCTGTGCCTAACCTATTTCTGGTGGCCTTTAGTTCTCGCTCTTTCTAGCTTGTTACATCTGTGGATTTTATATCTATTTTAGATGTTGTAATACGTTTTTTAGCAGTTTGGTGTGGGTGGGTGTGGCGTATGTTCTTTCTCCACCCGGAATCCTTCGATCCCTGGAACTATTTTGGCGACAAGGATGGGATTCCGGTACCGAGAAGGCAGCCGCACCCGGGTTTGGTGAATAGTGGGGCCGAGTAGTGGGGCGCACAGCTACCGGTCCGCACCGCTGCCCCGGCTCTGTCTGTCTGTGTGTCTGTCTGTCTGTGTGTCTGTCTGTCTGTGTGTCTGTCTGTCTGTCTCTCTTAGGGGTTGCATAATCATGTTTCACAAAACAGTCCGGCGGCGCCCCCTGCCGCTCCACAGGTGGAACGACCGGGGTGGGAACAGGAGCTCTGGAGTACTTTGTGGGATCCGTGGGAAACTTGTACCCAAGTAGGCCTAGAGTCCATTTCCAGTCAATGGGTAACATTAGCACAAGCAAAGACCTTGCTAAAATGGGAAGGGATGAAGATGACAATACAACGAGGGGATCCTGGCAGATATTTGGACGAGCCATTTACGGCTTCAGTTCGTAACCTTTTACTGGAAGGGTGCCCAGCAGGCTGGAAACCATATTTGATCCCAGTATTTCTGACAGCACAGGGGTTAACTATCAGTGATATGATAGAGAAGCTAGGGCAACTGGGTGAATTGCCTGGACTAGAAAAGCCAGGCGAGCTTCCAAGATCACACTTCTCTCGACCGAGGGGGCAGCGTGGGGACAGGAGGGAACCTAGTGAGCGTGCTCGTTTCTTCTGCCAGCTCCTCCAAGATGGCGTTCCAAAAAAGGACATTGACAGGCAACCGGTTAGCGTGTTGTGTCGTATGGCAAAAGAAAAGGGGCATAACAGTTTTGTGGTTTATTCCCTGCAGACTCTCAGCCTGGACTGTGATACAGCCTCGAACCAATGTATGGATCACCCTCGCCAGTCTCACCCACCATAACACTCTCTGTTTTGAGTACCACAACGCCGCTGAATCTGTTTTCGACATGTCTAGTGCGTGTTCCCTTGTCAATAGAACAACTCTGGAATGTTGTTAATACTTTCCTCTAAGGAGCACGCTCCCCACCCATCCCCCTGTCCTCACCACCCATCATCCTGTGTCCCGTCCCCCTCCTGCAGCGCTGCGGAACCCGTGGTGGCGCGGCGCAGTGCTCTGACACCAGGCTGGGCTGGCGCTGCCCACATACACTGAAGCTGGCAACCAGGTAAAGAAAAAAATTGGAAACTGAATACTCCCAAGAAAGTATAATTGACTCGATGGCACCATCATGATTGTCACTGCCCCTGACGGCCACAGGTGGGTCTTGCCAGTAAAATGCCTCGTGAGATCAAACCAACAAATGAGAGGCTGTCACCTTGGGTGTGCAGGGACTCTTTAAACCCCTGAATTCATCCTTGTCCAGCCTTGGGATGGGGCACTGGCTCGTGTTAGAGGTGTTGCCTATGAGGGAATTAATTAATGAGAAAGACCACCAGATGCTGTTGTGAGTGTTGGGCAGTGAACAAAATAACCTATCTCTTGCTTTTCCCTGCACCCAGGCCTAGATGTGGGTGCAGACTGTCATTGCAGGTGTCCTGAGAAAGGGGGATAACAGCATCCTCCCCACCGAGCTCCGAAAGATCATGTGAGATGCGGCCACAGAGAAGGCGCGACGGCTCCGAGCCTGCTGCCGGCTTGTCAACCTCACCCACGACCAAGTCCTCAATGCAGTCATCACCTACGTTCTGATTGTTACAGGGGAGTGTATCAAAAAGATCTAACCCGTTGGAGTCCTGTGGGGTTAACACAAATGGGTCTGTGGTCTGCCCCCTGGACCACCACCTGTGGGTGAGGGTGGGAAATGGCGGTTGGTAGACTTGGAAGCCTGCATTTTGGAAAAGGGGCTGGGATTCATATGTAAAATGATGCCCTTAAGGTGAGCACCAGCCTCTACTGATATGGATTTGTCACTTGTAAAAGAGATGTTAGAGCATGCAAATTTACTGCAGCTGTTAAACTGTACGTCATGATGGTAGTGTTATAAAGCAGAAAATGGAACAAATTAAGAGGGTGGGAAGCTACCAGGTGCTCCAAGCTCCATCCAACCTGGCCTTGAACACTACCAGGGATGGGGCAGCCACAGGGTTCTCTGGGTAACCTGTGCCAGTGTCTCACCACCCTCATTGTAAAGAATTTCTTCTTTATATTTGTTCTAAATCCAGTTTAAAAGTCTTCCAGTTTAAAACTATTCAATCATGAGAGACAGGCCTTTCCTCTTGCACAACAACCTTGCACTTACACATTTTTTGCAAACATCAGATAAAAAAAGACATTCATATTTATTTATAGATTCTCACCTCCATGGTACATAATTGAGAAAACTGACTTTTGTCTGGATATAAACTCACAAACCAGAGCAATTCCTGTAACCATCAAAGTTTTGAGTGCTATATGTGCTGATTCAGACTGGCACATTTTAACCAAGGTGAACCTTTTCCCAGTGAGGTTTGAATGACTTTTATGTTTTCTTTAAAATGTTTCAGGTAGTGAAGCTGTGGGCCTGTTGCCCAGACCTGTTGCCTTTAAGGAGCTCTGGGTTAAGCATAAGAATATTTGGTAAATGTAAAAGTGCCCTTTTTAAAGAGCAGAACTGGAGAAAATGGTGGGAAAGTCAGTCTCCAGAACATGTGTGGGAAGTAGAATTCATAGCAATTTCAATGTTTTAATAAATGGTAATTTACTTTCTAAAGTCCTGATGTGAAATCACTGGGTTTTAAAGTCAGGAAGGTATCACAGGCCTGCAATACAGTAACTGATCAGAAGGGAAAGGTAGATGACTTGGGGAATTTTAGGTAGAGTGGTTACAAGAGCAGTACTGCACCACTCAGTGGCATATAATGTAAATGTTCTCATTAAGCAGCAGGTTTGGTAGAGCAAGAGGATAGTAATTTCTCCTGTAAGCTTTCTGTTCTATGACACTGACAAATTAAAGGCTCTGCTATTCTCATCCCAGAAGAATGGTTATCTGGTCAGGGCTGCACAAAGGCAGTCAGGTTCTCGCTTATCTGAGCAATGCTTTCAGGTAGGCTTCAGCCCATGGCAATATTGCAGAAGACTGGTCTTGCTGAGCATCCTCCTGTATTAAGGCAAAGCCACAATGATTGTACGCAGCAAATACAGTCCTCTTCTATCTTGATCCTTTAAACAGTGCCTGTATCTTCTCCTCTAAGTATAAGGAAAGATGATCTTGAATAGGAAGAACACTTTCTTTTGTCTTTTTTTATAAAAATAAATCTACATGTTGTGTAATAAAAATTATGCAACCTGTTTGGAGCTGACTTACTGGAAATGGCTGCCTGATCAACAATTGTTACTTAGAAAATGTAACTCAGTGTTTTCCAGTGACTGAATTACAAA